ACTACCCCCGATGATTTATGGCTGTGGCATCGGCGTCTTGGGCATCCTTCTTTTTATTTACATAAGCATTTATTTCCATCTGGTTTCACAAATAATAATGTGTCTGAGTTTCTTTGTGAGTCTTGTCAACTTGGAAAACAACACAGAGCTTCTTTTGCTCCCAGTTTTAATAAAAGTATAGTTCATTTTTCATTAATACATTCTGATGTTTGGGGTCCCTCTCGTGTTATGTCTGTGAAAGGTCATCGATGGTTTGTTACATTTATTGATGATTTTTCTTGTACTATTAAGGTGTATCTCATGAAAGACAAGAGTGAGGTTTTCTCTGTGTTCCGCACTTTTCATCAGATGATTTGTACTCAGTTTGGGGCCACTGTTAAACTATTTCGTTCTAATAATGGGGAGGAATACATAGATTCTGGGTTAGGACAATATTTTTCTACTCATGGCATTATCCATCAGACCTCTTGCACCAATACCCCTCAACAAAATGGGGTGGTGGAACGCAAGAATCGCCATCTTCTTGACATGGCTCGGTGCATGTGTTTTTCTATGAGTGTGCCTCGATCCTATTGGGACGACGCTGTTCTCACTACTGTACATCTTATTAATCGTCTTCCTACCCAGGTCTTACAAAAATAAGCTCCTCTTCAAGTCCTATTAGGTTCCCAGTCATTATTTTCTATTCCTCCCAAAATATTTGGTTGTGTCTGTTTTGTTCATAATCACTCTCCTACTCGTGGTAAGTTGGACTCTTGCTCCCTCAAATGTGTTTTCCTTGGTTACTCTCCTACTCAAAAAGGGTATAAGTGTTACCACCCTCCTTCTCATAAGTGGTTTGTGTCCATGGATGTCACTTAAATCCCGATCATATTTCTTGTCCCCTCCGGTGTCACAGTCCTCCTTTCCAGGGGAGCCTTGGTGTGAAGTGAGTCCTGTGATTCCTATGGTGGAACCAGTTGTTCTTGCACCAACCTCTTCTACCGGGACTATAGAACCCAATGTCACCAAGGACAAGGATAGGGAAGAGCAGGTTTATATCCGGGACAAAGACAGACAGAAAGTTACCTGGATACAAGGGACCACTTCTGCTCCTCCACTGCCATCTCCTGCTTCTGATGAGAGTCCAGGTAACTTTGAATCTCTTGAGTCCATTGATCTTGATGTTCCTATTGCTAAGAAAAAGGGAGTGAGATCTTGTACTCAACATCCTATCTCACATTTTGTGTCCTACTCTCATTTGTCATCCTCATATAGAGCGTTTGTGTCAAATATTTCCTCTGTTAGCATTCCTAACCATTTTTAGGATGCTCTTGCTACCTCTGAGTGGAAACTTGCCATGATTGAGGAAATGAAAGCACTTAGGAAGAATGGCACTTGGGAATTGACTGAGTTACCTACGGGCAAACGACTTGTAGGATGCAAATGGGTGTATACTGTGAAACACAAAGCAGATGGTTCTATTGAGCGTTACAAGGCAAGACTTGTGGCAAAAGGGTTCACTCAGACATATGGCGTTGACTATCAGGAGACCTTTGCACCCGTGGCTAAGATGAATTCAGTCAGAGTACTTCTCTCTCTAGCAGCTAATCTAGATTGGCCACTTCATCAGTTTGATGTCAAGAATGCCTTTCTCCATGGTGACCTCGAAGAAGAGGTATATATGGACATTCCTCCTGGTTTTGAAGATCATTAGACAGAAGGCAAAGTATGCAGGCTTCGAAAGTCATTATACGGTCTCAAACAGTCTCCAAGGGCTTGGTTTGAGAGATTCACTCAAGCTATACTTAAATATGGCTTCAAACAAAGTCAAGCAGATCACACCTTGTTTGTAAAACATTCCTCACGTGGTAAGACTACAGCACTTATTGTTTATGTAGATGGCATAGTTCTTACAGGCGATGATAGTGAGGGAATACCTCTATTGAAGCAATATTTAGCCAGTGAGTTTGAAATCAAAGACTTGGGAAGCTTGAAGTATTTTCTGGGAATTGAAGTTGCTCGCTCCAAGGATGGGATATTTATCTCACAGAGAAAATATGTGCTTGACTTGTTGAAGGAAATTGGGATGCTTGGTTGTAAGGCATGTGACACTCCACTGGAACCCAATCAGAAATTAGGAGATGATGAAGGAGGAGAAGTTGTTGATAGAGGGAGCTATCAGCGATTAGTGGGTAAGCTCATTTACCTATCTCACTTCCGCCCTGATATTGCTTTTGTTGTCAGTGTGGTTAGCCAGTTTATGCATACTCCTCATCAAATTCACTTCGAGGCTATCATGAGAATCTTGAGATACTTGAAGTCTGCTCCTGGTAAGGGTCTTTATTTTTCAAAGTATGATCATCTTCGTGTGGAAGCCTATACAAATGCTGACTGGGCTGGATCAGTAACTGATAGGAGATCGACTTCTAGGTATTGCACCTTTGTTGGAGGCAACTTAGTTACTTGGAGAAGTAAAAAACAGAATGTGGTTGCCAGGTCAAGTACAAGAGCTGAGTTTAGAGCTATGGCACAAGGGGTGTGTGAGCTTTTATGGATCAAGTTATTGTTGAGTGATCTAAGTATTGATCAGACGGACTCCATACGGTTATACTGTGATAATAAGGCCGCTATCAACATCGCTCACAATCTGGTTCAACATGACAGGACAAAGCATGTTGAGATTGATCGCCACTTCATTAAGGAGAAACTCACTAGTGGCACCATTTGTACTCCTTTTGTACAGTCTGGTGAGCAACTTGCTGACATTCTCACCAAGGGAGTTGGGAATAAGTTATTTCATGACATATTAGGCAAAATGGGCATGAAAGATATCTTCGCACCAGCTTGAGGGGGAGTGTTAGCATATTATATTATTATTTAGGTTATTAATTTGTAATTATTCTATGCCTTAGGGCTGCCTTGTAATTATTAATCTTTTTTAATATAAATAGGGGATGATATCCTAATCATTCCCTAATCTGGTTACTCTAAAATCATCAGAGGGAAGATGGGGTATGTTGATGGCCGAATACAAGAACCCAGTATCACGGACCCTAGTTATATCAATGGGAAATCACCAACTCTCTCATCATGGGTTGGTTGATCCACTCTATGGTCCCTGAGATTGGAAAGGGCTACTTGTCTATGGACACTGCCCAGGATATCTGGGAGGCTGTAGCTACTACTTACTCCAGGATGGGGAACTTCTCCCAGGCTTTTGAATTACATTGCTCCATTGAAAGGTCGGTACAAGGTGAGATGACTATTCTTCAATATTTTATCTTCCTTAGCAATGGGTGGAAGCTACTTGATCACCTTCAGGATTACAAACCTGTCAGTCCTACTAATTCTGTTGGTTACCAAAAGTTTGTGACGCAAGAGCGGGTCTTCAAGTTCTTGAAAGGTCTCAATGTGAAGTATGATCCGGTTTGGAGCAGAGTACTTGGCATGGATGTCCTTCCTTCTCTCCATGAAGCCTTTGCTTTTGTACAGAATGAGGAGAGTCACCGCTCTACGATGCTTTCTTTTGCTACTACTAATCGCTCAGCCTTGGTTTCTGCACTCCCTTGCGATGGGGACCGTGTGCCTCGTGGTTCTCGTCCTTCCTCTGAGAAGGATAATCTTTACTATGACTACTGTCGTCGACCTCGCCACACACGAGAGACTTGTTGGAAGCTACATGGAACTCCCTCTAGTGGTCGAGGAGACCATCCTGGTACTCAAGGGGGTCGGTCTAGTCCGTCTAGAGGCCGAGGGGCCAATGCACAAGCACATCTTTCAGACACTATTGAGCCCCATTTTTCATATCCAGTTGTCTCCCCTGCTGCTGATGTTTCGGGGTTATCTGCCTCAGATTTTGAGCATGCTCTTCGCCACTTGCTAGACCGTCAAGCCTCCATTTCTGCTACAAGTGCACCCTCTTCTTCCTTTGCCAATTCAAGTAACTTGGCTTCCTCTCCATGTGCAGTACTATCTCATACGACTATACCATGGATTATTAATTCTGGTGCTTCCGACCATGTCTGGCTTCTCTCATTTATTTTCAAAGTATAATCCTTCCTCAGGTCAGGAAAAAGTGCGTATTACTGATGGTACTATTTCGTCTATGTCAGGGAAAGGTTTAATTCATACCACCTCTTCCCTTCCTTTGTCCTTTGTCCTTTGTCTTCCATGTTCCTAATTTGAGTGTTAATCTTTTATCTTTGAATCATATTACCTGTGACTTATATTGTAGCGTGACGTTTTTTCTTGATCATTGTCTTTTTCAGGACCTTATCACGAGAAAGAGGATTGACAGTTGTAGAGAGGAACATGGTCCCTACATTCTGGATCAAACAGACAAGCTGGCTCATTCAACTCTTCAGTTACTATCCACCAAGGACGACATTTGGCTGTGGCATCGTCGCTTAGGACACCCCGTCTTTTTATTACTTAAGCATTTATTTCTTTTTGTTTTTGAGAAAAATAATGTATTAGATTTTCAATGTGAGTCTTCTCAACTTGGAAACCACCACAGAGCCTCTTTTACTCCTATTAATAAAAGTTCAGTTCCATTTTCTTTGATTCATTCTGATGTATGGGGTCCCTCCCGTTTTGTGTCTTTAACCGGCCAAAAATGGTTTGTTACCTTCATAGATTGTTCCAGGGCCACTTGAGTATATTTGATGCAAGATAGATAAAAGTGAGGTGTTTTCTGTGTTTCAAAACTTCTATAAAATTATTTGTACTCAGTTTGGGGCGGTATGGGGGGGGTAATATATTGCGTCTGGTCTAGAATATCGAACAAGACTCCTAGAAACCCATGGACTCGATCTGCATCCTAGAAATTAAATCTCATACCCACATAATCATACAAGCATGTTATCACATAAGCATACACTGCACACTAATGCCTCAACTAAGCAAGACAAACCCATTGTGATAATAACCATCTCCCACGTATCCAAAGTATTCAAACCCGATACGCTCTGATACCAAGTTATAACGCCCTCAAAATAATACAAATAACCCAACTCATGAGAGGAATGAATATAACATAATTGGTACACTTTCTCAGAACAGAATTCGTATTACAAAAGAGATTACATGCATTATACATTCATAAACGCTCATTCAAAATCTACAGCATGTAATGCAAATTAATAACAACAAATTTAAATACCCTATGGGCTTACATCTTTCCAAAGCATATCTTGGTTACAATCAAAAGTGAGCTTCGCTCATTACATCTTAAGCCCCTTGGCTTTATATCTTGCTTCCAAAAGTTTCTCCAACGCTATTGCCTTGGTGGAGGCATGCCATCGTTACCTGAAAATGTTATTCCCAAGTAGGGTGAGCCACAGCCCAATAGAAACCATCTAACACAGTATATGAAATTTGGCAAAGATATAAGTACACAATGCATATACAACGTCAAAGATAAAGGCATCCACATTATGTATAGTGTGTGTGTCAATTTCCGACCACACTGCCAAACAGGTACTCAGCTGGAGAACACTGACAGAATAGATTAAGCCCAAACGACCTGTCACAAAAAGAAGAGATTCCAGCGGTGGTTCATCCACCCGGGGGCACTCCGACGATCAAGTCAGTATCTCTCAAAGATAGCAAAAATGCTTAATTCACTATTCAGAGCATAAAAAGCATACCTTAGACCCATGAGGGTGCCTCTCTTTTATAGCCAACACAAACCTAGTCCCAATAGGAGCCTAGCTTCAATGGACTTAGGATTACTGTTAATCTTGGACTCCCAAGAGGATTGAGATAAACTGAAGTCCTCTCTCATTCTAGGACTCTTGTCCCTTATCCGCTTATCCCGAATTTCGGTATCTTCGTAGATAACCTCGGCCTAGCCGAGATCATCTCGGTGTCATGACCAAGACACGTGACACCTCAGATGACACTTCGGTGTCACCTTGGCCACGTGTTGTCATCCAAAAATTATGTCCCCACAACTGCCCCCTAGGTTCTATTACCTCGGCATCCTGAGGTGATGGAACCTATATCATTCCTTCCTTTAATCATAACCCCGGTTTAACTTCAACTTGTAAATTTTTAAAATTTCAACAAGTGTTAAACATGACCTCGGTTTAACTTCAACTTGTAAATTTTTAAAATTTCAACAAGTGTTAAACATAAAATCGGTTTAACTTCAACTTGTAAATTTAAACTTCAACAAGTGCTAAACATGACCTCGGTTTAGCTTCAACTTGTAAATTTAAATTTCAAAAAGTGTTAAACATGATCTCAGTTTAACTTTAACTTGTAAATTTTTAAAATTTTTAAAATTTCAACATGTGTTAAACACGTCATCGGTTTAATTTCAACTTGTAAATTTTTAAAATTTTAACAAATGTTAAACATAACATTGGTTTAACTTCAACTTGTAAATTTTTAAAGTTTCAACAAGTATTAAACCAACCTTAGCTTGTGAATTCCAACTCCCAAGCATCATTCTCCATGCCCGACCTCCCGTGAAGGCCGGTGAGAATGCCCCTTTGCCCTGTCGTGCTGAGGGACTGCAGGAACTGTGTTCTGCCCCCCTTTTTGGGCATCTTTTTGTCCATCGTTAGCCATCTATTCTCCTTTCTTTCCCACAAACGGCGCCAAATTGTGTGTCAATTTCCGACCACACTGCCAAACAAGTACTCAGCCGGAGAACACTGGCAAAATAGATTAAGCCCGAACGACCTGTCAGAAAAAGAAGAGATTCCAGCGGTGGTTCGTCCACCCGGGGGCACTCCGACGATCAAGTCAATTATCTCTCAAAGATAGCAAAAGTGCTTAACTCACTATTCAAAGCATAAAAAGCATACCTTAGACCCATGAGGGTGTCTCTCTTTTATAACCAACACAAACCTAGTCCCAATATAAGCCTAGCTTCAATAGACTTAGGCTTATTGCTAATATTGGACTCCCAATAGGATTGGGATAAACTCTCTAAGAGTCTTATCTTTACCCAAACTGAAGTCCTCTCTCATTCTAGGACTCTTGTCCCTTATCTGCTTATCCCGGATTCCAGTATCTTCCCAGATAACCTCGGCCGTGTCATGACCAAGACACGTGACACCTCGGTTGACACTTCGGTGTCACCTCGGCCACGTGTTGTCATCCAAAAATTATGTCCCTACATATAGTATTAAATTACCAAACTCAATTATTAAGTCATTTCCCTTCATTTCATTTAACTACATAAGCCAATTTCATCGTTTCTCAATAACTCAAATGAGATCACAACTCATTAGTTCTAGAACCACATTATCAACACGTAAACACTTCAGATTTTTCTTTCACGGATATTTTGTCCGCGGGCAACCATCAAACAGGACCCATGTAAACATAGGCTATACAAGCACTACAATTGCCATTTTACGGATATTTCGTCCGCGGGCTAAGCACCTATGTATAATTTCGGAACTTTCACCCAGGACACTCCGACCAACTTAATTATAATGAAGTCCATCTCCTTTCTCCTCCCAAACAATCACACATACATATGCAATGTATTTAATCACAAACTTAAACAATGGAGTACATCCTCTTTCCACTTCCAAATAACCATACATATACAATGTACATAAATATAGTCATACTCAATAACAAGCACAAGTGATTAGTTTCAATTTACCTAATCCGCATGCAATTTTTACAACAATCATAGCTATCCTCCACCGATAGCCCAATATAGTTATTTCTAAACAGATATCAAATCTCACAACAGATAGTTTATTCGAAACTATTAAAGAATAGAATAACACATAACCAATCCCACCATTCATATCAATACCTTTTCAATTTCACATTTTTAATAGGAATTTCCATTATTTATACAAAATAATAATTTGATTCAATTAGGGCAAATTCTCCCTCTTTTCCCAAATATTAGCCAAGTACCAAAATCATCAAATCATACACAATACAACATCATTTTCAAACCCCCCAAGCATTTATTTCACCTTTACCCAAAAATCCCTCTTTTCATTTTATGCCCAAACCCTAGGTTTGCCTTAAACACCCCCAAATCACATCATTGTTACACAAGATATTAATAACTAAGCTAAATATCATATGGAAATATAGAAAAGATCCCTACCTCAAGCTTAGATGAGAGAGAAGAGAGAAAAGCTCAAAAATCGACGACAATGAAACAACGATTTGCGTCGATCAAAATGTAGCCCTTGACAAACTCTACACTTCATCTCAAAGGAGCAAGGTGAAAAGATCACTCTAGGTGAGTAGATCTAGAGATTTAAGTGAAAAAGTTTGAGTTTTAGAGAGAGAGAGAAGAGAACTCACAGTTTGAAAGGAAGAAGGGGAGGAAAATAATGAGAGAAAAGTGATTTGGGCCTATTTATAGTAGTAGAGAAGAGCCCTAAGGTCAAATAAAATAATAAGCCCAAAACCCTCCAAAGGTAGGGCCCAATCAAATCCCAAAATCTGAAAAAAATAAAAATAAAAATAAAAACACGCAAGGGTCGACCATTTAGGTAGAAAAGACAATCTGGCAACAAGCAAGGGGGTCGACCCTTAGACAGGAGGGGGTCGACCCTATTTTCCAGCAACTAACACACAGATTCTGCAATATAAGAGGGTCGACCCTTCCCAGACTGGTGTCTACCCTATATTCCAGCAATACTTCCAGAAACTTCACTAACAAGTAAGGGTCGACCCTTAGGAAAGTTGGTGTCGACCCTAGAATAGAATTTCTAAGTCTCCCAGGAACTTTTGACAAGAACAAGTGCGAACAAACAAACCTAACGAGTTTAAATCGGATTATACTCCTCCAAAACCAACATACAACAACACCAAAGATTTCCAAAATAAAATAAAATAAATATTCAAATACACTTCCCAAAAGTTTTGAAGGACACAAGTGCTACAGTCAATGTAATTTACCCAAATATTTATTTAATATATATATAGATGTAAGTTGAAGTTATTTATGTATGTATATATAGATATTGACATAGAGAGATGAACAAGAAGAAACAAAAGTTTTAGTTAATGAATCATGTCCACACAATTCAAATTCTTGGTAAATTTCTGGGTTTGTAGCATTATCCAAATATGCAGACAAGATTCATTCTACCTATGGCCCACAAAACAATAATTTTTAATCTACAGTGTACACATCACTTTTCATGATAGAATTATGGGTAATTTTTCATGGTTCCTAGATTTATTGTATTGTTATTTCATCCTTGGTTAACTAGCAAAACACAAAAGGCAATCACATTTAGGGGTGTAAACAGTTCGGTTCGGTCAGTGTTAAGAATACATTTAGCACAGAACCAATCCTTTTGGTTTTTATAATTGAGAAACTGATACAAACCGTATGCTACGGTTCAGTTTTATCAATTTTGTTGGTTTGATGTAGAAGAGAAATTTATATGAAATTTTAAAAGGTTTTACAATAGATTATAGAATTTTACATTGAAAATAAATGAAGAAAATATATGAAAATTGCTCTATAAATGTTTTTCTCCCTAATTTTTATCACAAAAGTGTATTATATTCATTACTTCTCATGTAATGTTCAAAAAATTATAATATAAAAATATTTAAATATAATATTCGGTCGGTTCTGTTTGCATCAATATAAAAAAGTTTCAAAACCGAAACAGATTGTATGTTATGAACAACAAATCAAAAACTAAAATTCCGGTCGGTTTCGGTCGGTCGGCTCGGTTTTATCAATTTTTCTTACATCCCTAATCACATTACAACGTATATACACAAGAGTAGTGCTACTCTAGCCCAAAGGTTAGACCCACTTTTCAAACTCAATGATGTGGCCAGCTCAAAAAAAATAAATAAAACTCAATGATGTGGCAGTCTATTAAAAAACCTAAGTGTTTACCACTTAGAAAACCTAGGGGCGAACGCATAGGTAGTGTTTACTAGGATTGGATGTGGGCGTGCCAGGACTTGCGGACCTAGTCCAAGGTTAGGAATTTTTGGATATTTTTAACTTCTAACACAAATAAATAACTGTGTGTGACTCAGAGGAACGGCCACTGGTTCGGATCTTGTCCCAATGAAGAGGACTTTTACTAAATTTGTTAGGTGCAAAAGATAACTAAACTAGAATTGAAACTTGCATTGATTGATAAATGAAGTACAATTGACTAATCTAAAGATAAGTTGGATAAACAACTAATTGCATGGAATTGAATTGCTTGAATGAAGAAAAAAGCTATGAAAGCTAAGATAGATGAACTCTTGATTGAGTGTTTGGTGTTGGACTCCTACAAATGTTGCACAAATTGACCTCCCATTCTGCTCAACTGCCAAGAACATGGCGGCCTTTCATCTTGACACTTGTTCCATGATCTTTGGCTTGATCCTCAAGTGTAGCAACCACTAAACCACTAACAGCTAGTTGCTCCATTTTTGTAGCTTTTGGTTAATCCACTAAGCTTTTCCACCTGCCACGTGTATAACCCACAAGAATCCTAAAAACCCACTTGGGGAAAACGGCTCCTTTTTTGTAGCCTTTGCTGACTCATCAAGCTCATTGAACCTCAGGTGTGATCTTCACCAAATCAAAGGCCAACCATCTTGCTTGATTTAAGGAAGTGATATTTTGTGGGCCTCAACCAACTCCTGTTTCCTTCGAGGTGGTTGAGGCACCTATAATCCTTAAATAAATAATTAATTAATCAATTAACCAACTAATTGACTTGGTCAATTAAATAAATAAGAATACTCCCTTGCTCAGCCGCCATTTTGCTTTGATGGGTCTCCAAAAATCATCAACTTTTGGTCTTCCATTGCCGCGTGACATTTAATTTAATAGAGAAATTGCCACGTGGCAATTTTTCCAAAAATGGTACAAATACTCGGACAACTCGGTGTCATATCTTCTCTGATCATTTGCTAAAGTGGACTTTTATATCATTTTCATATACACAAACACGAGGAATATAAAATTGCTGATCAGTTTGACAGATGCTACAAAACAATGGTTATCCACGTAGTTGAATTAGGACAAGATTTATCATTACACCTGAATATCCCAAAACCTTAATTTCCAATACTCGAATATAAAATTGATAGAATAGAACACACACATACACAAAAACATACCAAAAACATACACAAAAATTAGAGGTATTACTTGAGAAACAATCGCGTACCCACATAAGTATATACATAAATACATAGATTATAAGTATAATTTCAATTTTCAGGAAACTAACCTTAGAGGAGCCGAATTAAGGATGGGGATTATCAGTGAGAGTGAGAAGATGATGGTGGTGATGAAGAATGAGAGTGTGACGGATAGTAGATCTTGTTGTAGGCGGTTTCACTGATGAGGTAGATGCTTGCTTCCTCCACTCGTCTTTCCTCCCCTGTTGGTCCCACTGCGTCTCTCTCTCTCTCTCTCTCTAATGTTGGTATTTGGGGAATTTGGGTTTTCCCGGATATATTGGACCAGTCTAAATAATTTGCATTTGGGCCCCCATTGTTTCTAAGGTGCTGTTTGAAACTTAAATTTTTAGTTAAAAAGTAAAAACATAAAAATAAAAAATTATTATAAATTATCAAATTATTTTTTAACATTGTGTTTGGTTAGGAATTTTTATTTGTTATTATTTTTTTAACGTTGTGTTTGGTTAGGAGATTTGGGAAGAGATTTGGGAAGAGAAAAGTGAAATGTGAATAAAATATTTGTATTTGATCTAGTTTTACACACATTTTCCCTCTTCTTTTCCAAATCCCTTCAGAAATTCCCCAATCAAATACAGCATAAATATCCTTTTATAAAATATTAAAAAAATTAATTTTCAAATGAATCTAAAATTGTTTAGCTCCCATTCAGTAACTTGGCTTCGTAAATAATTTTTTGACTTTTTGATTTTTATAAGGTGAAAAAAGTAGTGGAATGATTTTTTTAGTTGAATAAGGCCTCGTTTGGAAATAGGCTTTTTTAATGACTTTTTGGCTAAAATATGACATAAAAAAAACTAGTGGCTAGGTTTGGTTTGTTTTCCAGAAAAATTTTTGGGAAAAATTTTCTACAAATAAATTTTCAAGTGTAATCAAACCAAACAAAATTTTTCAAAAAAAATATCAAAATTTTGTTTGGTTACCAACTTTCCAAAATCACTCTTTCTCTCATACACATCAAATCAATCACTTTTTTTAAAACTCTCTTCCCAAAATAATTTTCCAAAACCATTTCTGAAAAAAGGCAAACCAAACAAATTTTCGTACTGTTTATCTTAAAAACTACTCTATAAATACAAACCAAACACACCCAGTATGTTTGAGATGCCTTTTTGGCTTTTTACGAAAAGATGTGCAAAAATAGAGAGAAAATGAAATCTTTGATTTTTTGGTATTGGTTATTGGCTTTTTTTGTTTTTTTAGTAACTTTTTGACTAAAAAGGACATTTGGCAAACGAGGCCTAAATGTTGTGAGAAAAAGGAAAAAAAAAATGATTAATGTGTATAATATGGCATTTTAATATTTTTGACTTTCTGATTTTTTTATTTGTTTGTGATTTTGTAGGTTTCTTAGTCAAAAAATCACAAACCAAATGATGCCTTAATCCTAAAGTTCGAATGCATACTTCAAAATAAGAGTAAATTACACTTTACCCTTCAACTATCGTGTTGTATCACTTTATCCTGCTAAACTAAAATTTATAACAATTAACCCCCCTCATCTATTAATTTTTTAGCGGTGATATTATTACTTACCTAATTTCTTTAAACCTCTCAATTCACTTCTTTTTTTATTTATTTATTACAATTATATCCTAAAGTAAAATTATATTAAAGGACAATCTTTAATGGAACAACCACCTACCAAATAAAGACAATCCTACAATATTGTATACATACCTCCCCATCTAAACGTATTCATCACTCACCTAAGCCAACGTATTCTTTTTTGTCAACGTTTCTCTTCATCACCATCCTCAAACCCAATGTTCCTCTTCATCATTGTCCTAAACTCAACATATTCCTCTTCATCATCGTCCTAAACCCTAAACGTATTCATTTTCATCACAATCCCAAACCCTGAACCAAAAATCAGTTCTTAAATTGGAATGGATGTCTGTTATTTTGTTTGTTATATTGAATTGGAATGGAAAAATAGTGAATTAATGGTTAAGTTATACAGTGATAAACAAATGCTGTTTAAAAACACAGTGCTGAAAAAATTGTTTATGTTTGACAACACAGTACTGAACAAATAATTTATGTTCGGCAACACAGTGATGAACCAACCCTTGGATGGTCAATCGGTCGAACAACTGGGCGAATGACTGGGTGGTTGACCGGTGGTGTGATTTTGGCTCAGTTTTACAACAATGATGTAATGGCTTTGATAATATAGGTATCGTCATTCAATGATTTTAAATAAATCAAAGAGAGGGACCGTCGTTGTCGTTTTTTAGCATAAGAAGAACTGTCTTCAACCATGGTAGAGAGGGTGTGCAAAATTAGGTGGGTGTGTACTTAGGTATGATGATGTTATGAATAGGGATAAATTTGGTATTAAGCGGGGTGTTAAAAAAAATCTTATTGAAATTTAGGGTTTAAGGTAAGGGTTTAAAGAAATGCATGGTCCAAAGAACTAAGGTAAGTGCTAATAGCAGTTCTTTAATTTTTTTTTTTTTTAATTTAGACTTTTATGATTAAAATACGCTTTTATTAATTGGTAAATTACACTTTAGCCCCCTGAACTATCACTTCATATCACTTTACCCTCTAGAATTATCACTTAATATCACTTTCAATTTGGAATTTCTTATTATTTTTTTCATTTTATCACTAAATTAATTTTTAATTTTATAGCGATCCCGGTATTCCCTGTTGTTGTATAACTATAATCTGGACTCAGTTCCGTAGATTCGTTGTTGTTTTATTCTCATTTCTATCTCTTTCTCTTTGTTTTAGAGTTTTGGGTTGTGTTGGGCAAGTTGGGAATTAGTTGGTTGTATTTTAAAGCTTTGAAATTTTGCCCAGGTTTTGGTCTCTCCGCTCGAGCGGCGGTTTTACGCTCGAGCGGGCTTTTGTTGCTGCCTTTACGCTCGAGCGGCAGTTTGGACGCTCGAGCGTGAATTTCCTTCTCTCAGCATTTTGGTCGTCTGCAGAAAATTCTGGGAGAGTGCACCCGGCGCTCGAGCGGATCTTTGGACGCTCGAGCGTGAACTTGTGTCTGTACGCTCGAGCGGGGTGTTGTACGCTCGAGCGGACCTGCTTTTATATCAGTTCGTGAAACCACCTTTTTGATCACTTTTTGATTTCCTTTCTCTCTCTTACTTTTTCAAAACCTCCATTGGAGAGCACCTCACTCTAAAACCGAACTTCTCTCTTAGGATTGATCTACCTAGAATGTTTTCCTCACCTTGGGCCTTTGTAAGAAGTGTGTTGATCGTCGAGGGCTTCGTTGTGATCCAAGAAATTTGGGATTTGGAGCACTTCCGAGTTTTACTCATCTTCTCCTTGAGTTCTACATTTGAGGTAGGGATTCTCCTTGTTCTTTTTCAATACTTCGCCTATAGATAGACATGTGGTAATTTTGTATTGCATAAAAATCATATCCATGTTGGATTTGTTTGAAATCATGGGGAGGAACCTAGGGTTGGGTATTTGTAAATGGTTACGTTATCATTGAGAGTTGTTTTGGGCTAATTGGTGTGTTAATTAGCATGTGGTTGTTGAAAGGAGAGGAAACCCTAATTCTTGTTATTCGATTTAATAAATTAATTGAGGGGTTTTGATCTTTGGGCAAATACTTAGGTATTTTGAGTCTTAATTGTGGTTATTGTTGTTGTTGATGTTAATTGGGCCTTTTCGGTCAATATTGAGAAAGAGGAAGGAAAACCCTAATTTATTGTTTATGACTTAATTTGCATAATTAGTTCGAAATGGCTTTGAAAAGAATGTAGTGAATTTAAATGAGTTATGGCTTTTGTCCTTGGGCATGATTTTGTGAAAACAAAGGAAGTGGAATTCATTTTGTGAAATGGGAAGGGTATTTTGAAACAAGTATAAGAAAATTGGAATGTTGTATCTTGAGTGTTGAACACACACATGTGGGAAATTGTATCTTGAACTACCATGTTAATATTGTTGTCGGGTTTTTGGTCTCATAGTAATTGAGTCTTTAATAGGTGTACTACATATTTGCATCTAGAGGTCTTATCCTTGGTCATCGGTGGAGGATGACGTGGTTGTGTTGAATTGTTGTGTATGTAATACACCATTGTTGATTGAACATTACATGTGATGAAATGCTGAATTACATTATATTTGTATACTGGTTTGGGAGAAGAGAGGGGTTGTACTCCAGTGTGTGTGAGAAGATAGGGGATGGACTCCACACACTTTTGTGTTCAGCGCTTATAATCAGAGGTATCATACCCTTCCAGCTAGCGCCTGGAGAACTGACGCGCTGATAATCTAAGGTACCATACCCTTCCAGCTAGCGCCTGGTAAACTGGTAGATTGTGGTGAGAAGTGTATCTGGAAACATTGTGGATCGTATTTGTTACAGTGCTGGAGGGATGAGTTGAATCATTGATTGATTTTATGTATGTAGTTGAGTTGTTATCTTTTTATAGAGGTGTGCATGGATAACTATGATATAATTGGAATTGCATTGAAATGCCAAATATGTTTTGAAAAGGCACATCTGTTGTATGTGTGACAAATGGAAGAGTAATGGGCTTAGTGAATCTATGTTTCTAAGTAGTTGTTAATGTTATAAAAGATTGGGAACGGGGGTTAATGAAAGGAAAAAGGAAAGATGAATCGCTTATAGCGTTGAATTAAATGGTTGTTTTCGAGAAAAGTTCATATACCCATATATATATATGTATTTTGTATAAACTGTCACATTATTATTCTAGTATGAGAATGAGTGTTCATGATCATAGCTATCTGTAATGTTGTTATTGTTGAGGATCATGTTGAGATCCCTACTGGACTATATGTTCATCCCACGTTGTTGAATTCTTTTCAGGTTTCAAGCAGGTTGAGCTGTAAGATTTGGATCTACTTATTTGTTGGCCACGGGGCCTTAGTTATGTTGGCGGAATGCCATGGTTGTAAAGGGTTACACCCTTCTTCTTGTACTTTTAATGATGTAAGCCCAAGGGCAATTTATTAAGTTAGTTCATGTAATGTTTACTTTGCATACGAATGAGAGTATTGTTAATCATTTCTACGGATTGAATGTATGAGTTTATTTCCGCATGTTATCTCTGAAACTGGATTAAGTTAAAGAATTTGGTAATGATTCCGAGTAATAAAAAGTGGGGCGTGACAAATTTGTTAAAAAAAATTTAAAACCAAATAACAAAAATATTTATAAATTTT